CGTTTACTTGTCTAGAGATAAGCATGTGTGCGTGCATATGTATCTGTGTGTGGGTGTGTGTGTGTATCTGCCTGGCAAGGTCGTCCCCACTGCAATTTGCAATGCAAAATTTTTCCTTTTATTTGGCACCAACACACCCACCCCTCAAATGCTCACATGCACACTGAGCGCTTACTCAATCAGTCAGTCATTCAAGCTATTCACTTAACAGCTGCAGTACCTGCACCTGCACCTGCACCACCCCCAAGCCCCTGGCCCTGCATCGGATCAACAGCAAAAACAACAGCAACGACAACTACAACAACATCACGTAGTCAAGCAATTAGCCAAGAATTCACAAAAAAAAAAAAATGCACAAAGGAAACGGAAGAGAAGCCAACAGCTGGCACGTACATATGTATCTGCTGCATAAGAAATGAGCAGGAGAACCTAGCAGCAGGATTGGATGGTGGGATTCAGCAGATCAGAGCAGGGGCCAAAGAGAAGAAGCAACGTGTAAATGCACGAGAAAAACGTTCTCTGATAGAGATCAAACAGAGCGACAGAGCAGCTTTGAGAGCGAAGGAAATCTAAGAGAAGGAGAGCGAGTGCATTTAGGCCTTTTTGAATCTCTCGAGACATTGTCGCTCGCTCTGTCTGGCGCTTCGCGAAATAAAAGCACAACTTCAAAGCACTAAAGCGAGCCGGGCGAAACACATCTATGTACATAGAATAGATCACATGGTGGAGAGTCAGAGCAAGCAAAAGAGCATCTAAGAGAGCACAAAACGGATCAGCGTCGACAGCAGCTCCAGCCGCTAAAAAGCTAAACAGCAAAGCCGCTGGAAAGAAGCGAGAGAGCAAGCAGCTAGCAATGCGAGAGACAGAGCTCTAGGAGAGAGAACCTTATTGGAACCGCCACCACTTACCGTCATGTTATGCTCGACCAGCTTCTCGCTGGAGCAGATCATGTACACCATATAGGCGCGTACCAGCTCCCACGTGGTCTTACTCTTGAAGGCGGCGATCGGATCGTTGAAGCTCACGTCGAGCGGGTCGCGCTGCGGCGTCCCGGTCGGCTTGGGCGACGCCGACTTTCCCAGCTGTCGCTTTTCGCGCATAGTCTCCCTTTCGACGACATCGGTCTGCACCAGCTGCTGGGCCTGGCGCTCGTTCTGGCCAGAGTGAACATAGCGAACGTGGTGCCGCGGGCCTGCGACTCCTCCTGATATGCCAATGAGGCGACTCAATAACTGATGATGCTGCTGTCGGCGACGCAAGATGCTCGATGTCTGCACATGATCCTCTTGGCTGGGGGTCTTGCTGCTGGCCTGGACGTCGTATTCAAGGGCGGCTGTGGTATGGAGGCTGCGTCTGATGGCAGCGACGGCGGCTGAGCTGCTCGAGCTGACGTTGACGCTGGTGCGGCTGTAGATCAAGTATGTTGTTGTACGTTGGGTCCTCAGTGACCGAAGTAGAGCCATTACAAGGGCAATTGCTTCGGGGGAGGAAAGGGAATTCGATGGATCAGTCGCTCTTCTGCCGCGTCTTGCTGCTCCTTTTCTTATGTTCCGTGTATGGCTGGCGCAATTTCACTCGTTTTCCTTTCGTCCGCTCTCCAGTCTTCTTCTTGCTGTTTATGCTGCTGCTGCTGCTGCTGTAACAAATAAAAAAAAAAAACATAATTTTAGACGCACAGCTGATTTTGCATTTGCTTTCCCATTCTTCTGGGTACTACGAGAGCTTTTGATTTTTATTTTCTCTCTCTCTCTCTCTCTGGCACATGGCTCTCTTCGAGCGGCTGGCGCTGGCTGCCTGATTGCTTCTGTTATACAACAATTGCAAACGGGTCCCACAGAGATCTGAAGAGAGAGCACTGGGTAAGAGGCACACACACACACACACACACACACACGCAAGTACACACACAATGGGACACCTCAAAAAATATTCAATTAAAAACATTTCAATTTCTTCGTTTCTCTGTTTTTTTTAATGTTTTTTGACTATTACTTTTTCCCCTGTGTTATGTACGCTTTGTACGCCGAAACGTTTTGCTGTCGCAAAAGCACGAAACAAACTGTGACGACTCGAAGGCCACAGCAGAGGTATCGGCGGCAGCGCAGTGGCCGAATGACGGCGAATTGGCAGAGCCGTTCTTCGTCCGGTACACACGAGCAACGGCGAAGGGCACGAAGCATGAAAATCCTGCTCGGTTCGCGTTCAGCTTTTACATAACAGTTGTGACCCTGTTTCCGTGTCTCATCCCTTCGCCTCTTTTAGAAACACGGCGATGTGATGTGACGTCACAGCAGCGCGAGCCCCCTAGCGATTGGATTTTTACACCGATTGAAGCCTTTCCTACTCTGCGCTTTTGTTCCTCCCCTCCCTCCTTAGGATGCTTTGATTTAATTGAAATGCGCCGCAAACATGGAATACTACCCACTAAATGGTGTTAATTAAATGGTGTGGGGAGGTGGGGTTGGTGATCTGATGCTGGGAGAGACGGGAGTACGAGTACAAGCGCAATGGGTGGAAAGTACACGTACTTCTCAGAAAGGCCCTGACTGAGACGCCCGACCCCTTCGCATTCTCGGCTCTCCTCTATGCTCCTCTCTTCTTCTTGACTCTTAATTAATTAGCGGCATGCTAAATGCACGCTAGACGCTGTTGCTTCGCTCTCTACTTTTCACTGCCCTCTAACCCTATCGTTGGCTGCAACTGCTTTCTTTGCCTCCTCTCACGCAGCTGCCACTGCTTTCACTAGTTTATCTGCTGTCAGCTGCCGCTGCTCCCTTTGGTTCTGTCGATGCTGCCACTAGTAGTTCTGCCCCTCCTCCTCTGACTCTGCGGCAGAACAATCAAACCAAAACTTGTCGGGTTTCATTGCGAAAATTTCATTACAATTTATTATTATTGGCTCTCTTCCCTCCCGGCGGCGGCGGCGGCACAAAGCAGGTGGAGTAGGGGCACAGACAGCGTGCGAGATGGGAAGGCGGAGCAGAGCAGAACCAGAACCCCCCGCGCGATACACAAATTAAGTTGCAAATTCATCAAAAACGTTTTCTGTTGCTAGCTCAAGTCTCTTCGGGGAAGGTGGATGGAGCGGGAGAGAACAACGCGCGGCCAAGAGGCAGCGACTACTTGTATTATATAACCGTACTCTCTCGCTATAACATAGAGATCCTTTTATGACACTCGCATACCCACCACCTACGCCCGGAAACGGCTACACACTCCACGACCCGACCCCCTAGATTTCCCATCGAAAACGCCACTACCACTTTGCCAGTGCTTCCTCTTTTTGGCAAATTTTTTCACATTTGCGTATGTGTATCTGTGTGTGCGTGTGTGTTCTTTACCTTTTGTTAGGGCCTTTCCAATTTCCTCACATCGGCAAATACACAAAAAAAAATTTATATTTTTCAATCACGGTACTAGGCCAAAAGTTTAACTGTTGTGTTTTTGGAAGTAACTCCGAGAGTTTCCTGATTTCTGGTCTGACTGATTCGACAGCGGGGGAACGGACGACAGGCAGTGCGCTGCCGATGACAGAGAATCCGTAGCGTTCTGCTTCGTACCGTACCTCGATTGAATACAGCCACACTTCTTTTTGGCAATTTGTAGTTTTTACGAATTTTGTTGGGGCCGCCGCTCGTCTCGTTCCTTTCCTGCCTACTCTTGGTCTTGTTGCACACGTACACACACACACACGTTCGCAGGGGAATCGAAATACGGGTGGAGAGAGCGAAAGAGAGAAAGATGAACTGTAAGGGTCTGAATGCGCGAACAAACTAAATTAAGGCCAACATTTTCAAGCGAAACTGGTGGCGAAAGCTCGTCCAAAGCTTGCCAGTATGGTCAAAACGTTGTATGGTTTTGGTATTTGGGGTTGATTGTGGCTGGGTTGAGGGGGGATGGCAGGGGTGCCACATTTTTGTGTGAGAGTGTGGCAAGGCAGCTGTTTTGTTCGCGTGTTGATGTTGCTGTTGCTACGGTGCGGTGCTGTGTTGTGCTGCTGCCGTTCCGTTCGTTCCCTTGCACGTGAGCCAGCGTATTCTTAATCACGCGCACGCCATCTTGGTCCGGTACTCTCGCACCTTCGTCACCCAATTGCAGAGCCTCGGCTTATCTATGCAAGTGGCGGTTGGTCGGGAGGGAGTAGAGTCGAGCCTTATCTTGCACAACATCCCACACAGACCGCCCCCCTACCCCTTCACGATCGGCAGCCGGCTAAAACACATGTTTGTTGTTGGTGCTCGTTTAAATTGAAAAACCATCTGGCCACACCTGAAAGCCTAAACAGGGTTGCTATATCTGTCCATATCGATATACGACTGACTTGCAGTTCGGGTTCAAATTTAAATTCGAATTTAGAGCCCAGCAGAGCGAACAACTCAAACATATTTACATATCTACTTTTGGATGAATATATTTTTGTTTGCATAATGTTTGCGTTTCGACACATATAGTAATAAATTACGACTAAATATTAGAAATAATAATAATTAACACTTAATGAGGGTCCAGCTGTTGGTAATTTCGGACGCGGCCCGATCAAAGAGAAACTTAACAAAAAACAGAACAAGTCATCTATAAAAAAAAATATGGTATACATATAAATATATCATGCGTGTGTGATGATAGATAATGATAGAACCGATTGCGACCGATTTGAGTTGCCTATCAAAACAAATAAAAATATATCAATTTTTTCTCTCACGCATACATCTGCCTGCGCTCTCTCTTTACATAATATTATTGACTAAAGTGTAGATCAACGAATGTCTGTTTCTTCATCATGCCGAGGTGTCCGTCTCTGTCGCACCACAATCCAACACGACCACACCACTACTACAACGATTCCCGAAAATTGCGGACACTGTTGAGACTGTTGTTTCATTGTACAATACGTATACGCATGCATGTGCATGAAAGAGAGGGGGAAACAATATTTCTCCACGCCTGGAGGAATGGGGAGTGGGAGGAAGGGTGCGCCGTGCTTCCTGCGTCCTGCAGGGGCTGGTGCTGATGTTTCGTTCTGCTAGAGTGGCATGATTCGTGATGGTGCTCGGAGGCGGCATCATCCGAGTCCCCTGTTAGTTGGACTTGGTCAGCTCAGTGCGGTTGGCGGCTACTTCGGCCAGAATGAGTAAATCTGAGGTAGAGGTCACATCGAAAGCTGCCTGCGATGACGACGACGATGACGACGACGACGATGAGGCCGAGGAGAGTGGCGGCGACGCAGAGGACGAGGACGATGATGAGGGGGAGGTGGTGGTGGACAGGGCCAAGGAAGAGTTGTTTGCTGCCTTCGCTCCCACATCGGGGGAGGCGGCCTGATCGAAGTAATAGCACCCGTTGATGGTCAACGGTAGAATGGACGCCACCTCCTGCTCAATGGCGCTAACGTCGCGGCGTGTGATGCTCTCCTTGCGAGCCTTGCGCTTCTGACTGCCCACGGCGGCTGCCTGCCGTTGTGCCTCCTTCCGGACAAGTTCGTTTGCCTCTGCCTTCCCTGCGACAGCTGCACTTGTTGCTGGTCCTCCTCCTCCCCCGGATACTGCACCTCCTCCCCCAGCACTGGCGCTGTTCGAATTGCGCTGCTTCTTGCCAGCTGTGAACTTTTTCTTTTTCTTGGTGCTGCGCTTGCGCTGCAAGTAGGCGTCCAAACTGAGCGCAGTCAGTTCTTTAATCTTCTCCTCCAGGTCGAAGCCGCCGCCGCCACTGCTGCTCGACTCGGAGACACTTCTTGGGTGTTTGCCCGACGTGCTGGTGGCTACCTCCAGGCTGTCCATCTGATGGCGCTCTGCTTGAGAGTGGGGACTGACGGCATCTGCGGTAACGTCTCCAAGAAAACTGGCTCCTTGTCCGCCGCTATTCAGGCGGATTTTGCTCTTCTTGGCCACAGCTGCCAGTTGGCCGGAGTTTACTAGCTCCTGGTAGATCTTGCCCTTGCAGGAGCGGGAAGATTTCACCTTCTTGCAGGGGGATGATCCCAGACCAGCCACGTCCTCCTCGCTGGAGTTACTCGAGTTGCTGTCCTGAGGAATCGGCCGTTTGTTGCCACCGGGCATATGGGTGCTCAGGAACTGGCTGGTTTCGCTCAGGACCTGCTGCAGGGCACACTCCTTCTCCTGCACCTGCAGCAGAGCGCTCAGCTCCCCCATCTGCGTCTCGTCGGCCAGCTTGAAAAAGTTTCCACGCAGTAGCTTGGCCGCGGAGAGAGAGGCGGCGGTCATCGGTGCCGCATGCAGCTCGTTGCGCGACCACTGCAGCTGGACCGGCTGCTGAGTGTTCTGGGGGTTCTCCTCGGTCAGTTGGCCGCCGATTGCAGCGATCCCTGCATTGCCGGGTCGTGTGGCCAGTGTGCGCAGCGGAGGAGCCGGCAATTTATACCACTTAAAGTTGGGATTGGCATTGAAAAAGGCATCTTTGTTCTTTAAATAGGAAATAGGAAAGGGCGTAAGGGTTTAGCTTTAAGTTTAAGTTTAAGGGGGGAGCTCTCTCCTTACCTGCTGTGCCAAATCAGTGAAGCAGTGTTTCTCCTGTTCATCGAGTGCTGCCCACCAGTCGCCGAGTATTTTGGTAATGGCTCTGCGGAGGAGGATTTATTATAAATGAGGCTTTAGCTAGTTGCTTGTTGGGATCAATGGAGGACTCACCGATTCTCCAGGGACTTGTAACGCTCCTTGACAATGGCACGATGCCGTTTGCAGAAGATGAGAAATGCATTCATCGGCCGCCGGGCATGATGCTCTGGCCTTCTGTCCTCCGTCTCATTGTTGGGCGAACCGACTGCTGTTTGCTCCAACTGCAGTTGCTGCTGGACTAGTTCCTGCTGCGGCACTGTCACCACATCCACATGCTCTTCGGTGTCCTCCAGTTGTATGCGCGTTACCTCCTGCTGCACTCTCATCGGCACTGGCTCCTGTTGCTCCTCTTCGTCGTCGTCATCGTCATTGTCCTCGTCATCGTCCAGCAGGTCTTCCCCATCGTCCTCGCTGTAGTCCTGCAGCTTGGCATAGTTGTGCACATCCTCGATCAGTCGAAAAGCATGCTCCTGGTCTTCGGTGCGCTGTGGCGGCTGCTGTCCCTGATGCGGCCCTGGTTGATGTTGCTGTGCCGTCAAGGGCAACAAAGGCGAAACCACGGCTGATGGCTTCGCATTCTTCTGCTGCGGATGCTCCTTCTCTTTGGTGTTTGCTGAGGTACTCGAAACTGCTTGTTGTAACAAAGATGTGCGGCGTATTGGCATTGGCAGCAACTTGAGGCTTGTCACTCCCCCACCAGCGATGCCACCTGTTGCGTCTTCTACTGCTTTTGCCACTACCCCTGCTATAGTTGTTGCAGTTTCACCCACTGCTGCTGCTGCTTCTCCTCCTCCTCCCCCTCCTCTAATGCTTTCTATTATTTTGAGCACCTTCGTAGATAGCGATTCCTTTGGATTGTTGTTCATTTGATGGTCCATTTTATGGCCAGTAATATGATTATGAATGTTCCTGCTACTGCTGCTGTTGCTCTTGTTGTTGTTGTTGTTGTTGTATGCAAAGTGCAATGTTATTGCAGCACCACCTGACTTCGCCTTCGTATTTGCTGCTGCCTGCTGCTGACCACCGCCAACACTCAATCCGTTGATCATCTTTATCTCATGAATGATTGTTCTTCTTCTTGTTGGAAATTGTAAAACACATTACGCTGAGAGAAAAGAGCAAAGAAAAGAGACGGAAAATTTCTGATCAGTTAAATGAATTTCACAAATATGCACAGAGCGGGGCTGCCAATATGCTTCAAAATCAATCGCTAACAGGACTTGGCAGCCCTGTTTAATGATATTGAGTTGTTTACAATTTTAGCAGCCAGTTCAGCGAGAGAGAGAGTGAGTGAGTGAGTGAGAGAGTGATAGTTGTGTGTGTTCGTGTATACATATATTATAGTGCGTCAACCACTATCAGCTGTGTTTGTGTGTTTGCGACGCGTCGCCTACCTTCCATTCACCACCCGACCGACCCCCCTCTCAATAATTTGTTTAAACCAAAATAACGCAAAAAACTCACACCAACACTAGTGGATTTTTTATTATTATGAAATTTTGTGTTATTTTGCGCCTAAGCGGTTGGAGGAGAATGAATGAACAAGTGAGAAATGAACACTTTACTCTCTTTTTGTGCGATTTTTATAACAACATGCATACAAACATACATGAACATATGTACATGTATGTATATATATATGCATGTGTACGTATACGAAAGCGATATTTTTTACGCACATATGCATACAATACAATGTACGTGCATGCATATGTAAATATTTTTATACAGTTGTATGACTGTCTGATCGGATCGGTCAGCGAATACATAAGCCTGTACTTGCATAAACAAATTAAGCGAAAAACAAAAGGAAATGTTTCCAAAAGGGAAGAAAGCAGACTGTAACTGTTTACAACACTGGTCGTATTCTGCCAGGTTAGCAGTCTTATTGAAAAATAACTGAATTCACACACACACACACCATCCATCTGCCAATTTCCAACATTTATGTACGTACATATGTACGTGATACTCTGTTCTGTTCGATTCAATACGTATTAATATTTTACTTTGTCTACCATTTTTCTTTCGTTCACCCACTTTCTTGAATTGGATTGCACAATTATCTCACAACAAAATAAAATAAAAAATAAAGAAAACAAAAAAAAAAGAAAACAAAAAAACTACTCTCGCGATGAACACTGGCTACGTGTACAGCTGTGCGATTGCCATTGTTGTATAGGTATGAGGGAGCGAGAGTGCGAATGCGCACAGGTTCATGAGTTTGCGAGTGTGTGAGTGCGGGAGATGCCGTTCGCCTTTTCTTTCTTTGAATTTTACATTGAACTTGATTGCGCTTTGCTACTGCTGTTATTGTTTACGGGCAACGCACAGGGCTTAAGTGTTCTCCTTTCCTTGTATTATAATTGTTGCCGATTCTGAGACAGGGATGTGTGTTTTGTAACCCCTTCGGTGACAGTTTGCCAGAGTGTGGTGTGGGAGTGGTGGGAGGATCTTCGGGGTTGCCACTTTGAGCAAAAATTCAACTGCACTGCAGCTTTCAGCTGTTAGCTACCGTTGCTTTTTTCACTGTTGCTGCCCGTCTCACACAAATGCACTTACATACACACACACACACACACACGGTCAAGGCCAAGCCATTGAGACGGCTGGCGGTGGGGTCGCAGGGTGGTCGAGGCAATAGCATCGCCATAACCTTCAAACAACCAATTCTCGTCGTTCTCAATTCCGTTTCTAGGTTAGGTTTAGATGCAATCAATTTTTGTTTCTTTTGTTTGTCCACTTTTTTCATTTGTTTTTCATTTTGACTAAAAAACAACACATAAAAACAGGTACCCATACACACCAACAGACTCGATACCGAACGTACATACATACACTTGCTTGCACACAGCCATACGCTCGCACACACACAGCTAAGGAAACAGCTGATGACGTTTGTTATTTTGTGCGCGTCGACTATTTTGCAAAAAAAACTGTTGTGGAGGAAATGGCAAAGCGGAATTTTATTTATCCATTTCCTAAATGAAAACTAATGCACCTGACCGGGCCATTAATAAAGCCCCGACTGAAAAAGTCTCAACTAAAGTATTTACTTGAATCGAAGAAATCGAATCGCACTCGAAGTCACAGTGCTCGGCCGCTCTGCTCTTATTTAATTAAATTTCAATGTTGATGATGTCAAATGAGAATGAAAACTGACTGTGTTTTTGTGTTTTGTGTGCGGGCAGAGCAACGACAACCACAACGATAGCGATAGCGACGGCGACGGCGGACTACGACCGATGGCGATGTGTCGAGACGAAGTCGCGTCGCTGCTGCTTGCTGGTGCTGCTGCTCTGTGAGGTTCAATTGCGCGCAGCAGCAGAGGCGACATGGACACGGACTTTTTCTATCTTTTTCCCCATTCTGCATGTGGCTTGTTTGTGTGTGTCTTGTGCTCCTCCTTGTTGTTCCGTTCCCCACATTTATATATGCACAAAATAACCGCTGAACGCAAAGAGAGCGAGCGCCAACGCTTGCGATCTCTCTTGCACTTGGGCATGGGGGTCCGACTCAGCTGTTTTTCAGTCCACTCTTGTTGTTTGTCGTCTCCTTCTCTGCTGTTTCGGATGTGGTGGGGAGGGGAAACAAAGTCAGTGCAGCTGATTGCTGAAAGACGAGGAGTAGGGTGCGATAGAGAAATATTGAGAGGCTGCTGCAGTCACAGTTGCAGTCACCTGTACTCTCCATCTCATACCACCTCCAACTGCAACAAGTTGGCATTTCTCCAGCTGATCGACAAGTGGCAGTATTCCTCGTCCTCCCCCTTGAGCCAGCCATTTTTTGAGCTTCTGTTGTCCCGTGTTTATTGCATAACCATTTAACAGTTTTGTTCGGATTTGGTTTATTTGCAATTTGCATTTTTACTCATATGTAGCAAAGTAGAACCAGCAGCAAAACAGCAGCACGGCAGCAACAACAATGTTATTGTTTTTCAAGGTCACAGACACACAAACACGCACACATACATATGTACATATAGATGAACGACACCGTCAGCGCCCTCACCCGCACCCGCACCACGAACCAACCCACTCCCAACGGGGACGTCCATCAGGTTTGGAGGTTCGGTTCGGTACTTTGGCGTTCGTTCTCTTCTCTCTATCTTTCTCATAAACAACAACAATTTTGCCGGGAGCGAGACACAAGCGGACCAAGAACTTGCTATCTCACACACACCCCCCCATCAACATTCGAACACAGATTTTTGTATGGCAGTATGTGTATGCTCAAGTTGTGTTTGGTGTGGCGGCGGGAGGATACCGTTATGCACTATATCTAGCTCTCTCTTCGACTGCGCGAGTGTGCGTCAGTGTGTCTCTGTGCCACATTTCAGGGTCAGGGAAATTCGATTTTTTTGTGCCTTGTCTTGCTCTTCCTCTTTTGGTTTTCATTGAGGGTGCCACAACAGCAACAAGAAAAACAATACGAAAAGGAAAGCACACAAGAACGGAAAGCTTTTCCGTGAATCGAATCGAATTTCGAATCCCAAGGGGAAACTTTAGAATATGTTCTAATCGTAAGCTGAGTCTCACTCGTGGAAATTCTAATATTAAAATGTGATCATATGTAAGGGCAGAACGAATATCCATACAAACATTGTACTTACATATAATACTAGATATTAATTGTGAGGAAATTCTAATGTAAGTCCAAATATTCTTCAGGAATAACGAGCAGCAATAGTTAGTTATCTAGTTCTAATGTTAAGTTCATTAACATTGTAAGATGGGGGCGTGCATGTGGTCACGCCCATTTCCTTACTTTTGGTTTGTAATAATACATTTGTATTTCTATATTCAGACGACGATGATAAGCAAAATGAACGGTTATCTCTCACCACGGAAACCACTGGTCGACAAGGGGCGAACAAGGGAGTGGGAGCAGATTGCGGGTGGGCGTGAAGCTGTTCGCTGACGATAAGCTGCCCGCCCACGCCACGGCTTGGGTGCGTCGTTCAAGGAATTATATAGAGCGAGATATATATAGTGTGGCACTTACCTTACACACAAACACGAACCGGTCCATATCCTTCCTCTCACTGTCTCCTCGCTAATTTTAATCCTACATATTGGTTGGGGCTGCTGGGGGCAGTCGTTGTGTGGGCGTCTGCTGACGCACAATGCTGCCAAATGCAGATCCCAGCACATCGTATCCTCTCCCGCTCTAGTTATTCCTACATTTGTGTGCGTGGGTGGGGGCCAAATGCAGATTCTAGCGTTTCAGTACATTAATGAACGTCTCGTGGGGCACACGGATGTTGGCAAAGAGACGCATCTTCTTTTTACCCTCGGCCTGCTGTCGGAGGAGCTTCATGCGACGCGTCACATCGCCGCCGTAGAGCTTGGCAGTGACATCCTTGCGGTAAGCTTTGATGGTCTCGCGGGCCAGCACCTTGCTGCCGACACAGGCCTGAATCGCAATCTGCACCATCTGCTTGGGTATGAGATCCTTGAGCTTGTGCACCATTTGGCGGGCCACGCCTGTGGCCTTGGAGCTGTGCACGATGCGGCAGAGCTCGTCGACGGGCCGCCCGTTCAAATGGATGTCGAGCCGGACCAGGTGGGTGAGGTGGTAGCCGTGGTCCTCGTAGCTGAAGCTGGCGTAGCCGGAGCTGATCGACTTGAGGCGATCGTGGAAATCCAGTATGATCTCGCTCAGTGGCAGGACGTACTTCATGAGAATACGCGCCTCATCAATGTTCACCGAGCTCTGCTGCAGTCCGCGCCTCTCTACGCACAGCCCGATTATCTGGCCAACGTACTCGGTGGGCGTGATAATGGTACCCATAACCAGGGGCTCGTGGTACTCCCGGATGCTGCTGGGGTCGGGGAAGAGCGCCGCATTCGATATGTCCATGGTGTCCGTGCCCTGCTGGCGGATCATCTTGGGATTGCCCAGCACCAGCCGGTACGTAACCGACGGTGCCGTTATGATGGGTTCAGCGCCGTGCTCCTGCTCTAGCCTCTGGCAGAATACCTCCATGTGCAACAGGCCGAGGAAGCCCAGTCGCCAGCCCTGCCCCAGTGCCGGGCTCGAATCCACCTTCACGGTGACCGCCGAGTCGTTTAGCACCATTTTTTCAATGGCACTGCGTAGGGCCACGTGCTTGGACTGGTCCACGGGAAAGACACCGGCGAAGACAATTGGCTGCTGGGGACTGTAGCTGCCGGCGGCGCTGGCCAACTGGTTCTTCAGGTGGATGGTGTCCCCGATGATCGACTCCTTGCTGTTGCGCATGTTGCAGGCGATTAGCCCCACCTGGCCGGCGGACAGGCTGGCCACGCCGCACTCGACCGGACGCAGCACTGAAATACTCTTCACGGGATAGGTCTTCTTGGTGGCCAATGACTGAATGTCCTGGCCCTGCTCCAGCTGCCCGTTGAGCACGTAGATGAGGTTGAGGGCTCCGCGGTACTTGTCGAACCAGCTGTCGAAGATTAGCGCACGGAACGCACTATTCCGTTCCACTCTGGGAGCAGGTATCACCTCGATAACCCGCTCGAGGACCTGGGGAACGCCTGTGCCCAGTTTGGCGGACACTTTGAGTACCTGGGCAGGATCGATGCCGAACAACAGCTGCAAGTCGTGGCACACCTGTTCGGGATTCGCATGCTTGATGTCGATCTTGTTGAGCACCGGCACCACTGTCAGATTCCGCTGCTTGGCCAGGTGATAGTTTGCCACGGTCTGTGCCTGGACGCCGTGGCACGCATCCACCAGCAGGATAACCCCATCGCAGGCTGCCAGCGAGCGGGAAACCTACATCGAAAATTGGAAGAAAGGATTCAGAATGATTACTGATTCCGACGAAGAACCTGCTGCTCCCGATAACCCACCTCATTGGAGAAGTCCACGTGGCCGGGCGTGTCGATCAGATTCAGAAGGTACAACTCGTCCTTATATTTGTAGTATATGGAGGCCGTTTGCGCCTTCACTGTGATGCCGCGTTCCCGTTCCACTTGAAGGCTATCCAACACCTGGTGCTGGCCGGCATTCTTTGAAATGGCCCCCGTCAGCTCCAGCAACCGATCGGCCAGGGTGCTCTTGCCGTGGTCCACATGGGCAATAATGCTGAAATTTCGTATTCGCTCCACTGGAATTTTGGCAAACTCCCGCAATAGCACATCCTGAGACAACTCTGAACCCGAACCAGAACCAGGCTCTGATGCCTCCGTCGCGTCCTTGACCCGATTCGTTGTGGATAACCCCTTGCTCCAGCTGCAGGCTCCTTGCCATGGCCAATGGACGGCGCCCTTGCACCGCCTGGATGGATGGGAATGGACAATGCCCACCGCTTGGATAAGGGACCAGCGTATTGAAAGAGTCTTGTGCATTTTGTACATTCACATTTTTCTTCGCCCGGCAATGTTACGGCACAACATGTGAGGGCTGCCAGCAGGGTTGCCAGAGCGCTAGAACGTGCTCCGCTCCGAGGAAGGTCTGGCAGCACGCTAGTCAGTCAGCTTTTTTCCCGTCAGATTTTGCTTTTTGGCTTGTTCACGTTTTTGCCTGTATTTCGGTCGACAAAAATGTTTAGCAGCTGGCTTATAGCCTAGTACTCAGATCCGAAAAAACACCTTGCGAACAGAATCATTGATACTCGGTATATACTAAAAAAGTATCCGAAGGTATTTGCTGGTATGTTACTAGGTCCTCGAAAATGATATGGTGCAGTCCACACCTCTGGTCACATTCACCAACTTTTTGCCTTTTACCGCTTTTTCGTGTCTTTTTTATTTTTTTTTTTCAATTTTAGTTGCCCTTATACTCTCTGCACACTGAGTCCATCCTGGGGGAACGGTGGGAATTTTTGAAAGATGTGAAACACCGATTCACATTGACACCATCCACCATCCACCATCCATGAGAAACAGCTGTTGCTCACAATTGCGTGAGGTGAAAATTTGTTTACTTTAATTAAAATGAATATAAATAACATTTCAATGGTCGTGAATGTGATTCAGCAGCAAAACATATTCTTGCACAAGCTAATCATGTTGTTGGACATGGACGATAATGATGAAGATAACTTTGACGAGGAGGAGATAATAGAATGGATATCTGTTTTGAAAACACTGAAGCCCGGAAGGTTGTGGTCATTTGTGAGTGCTTCTAATAAATGCAACCAATGTTTAAAGTACAAATATATATGTTATGTTATTCAGAAGCGGTTCGGTACATTTTGGGAGAAGGATGTACCCGAAAACAACGAGGCGTTTTTTAAGGAAAGTTTTAGGATGGAGAGATCCTGCTTTTCTCTGTTGGTTACTCGCTTGGAAGTGCTACGGAAGAAGGACACAAACTGCCGAGCTGCAATTCCTCTGGAGAAGCGTATCGCCATATCTTTTTATACTTCGGGATCTTCTTCTGAAAAGAGTGTTTTTCGGAGTGTCAGCCAACAGCGTCTGCAATATCCTGCATGAGTTTTGCAGAGATTTCATCAACGAATTCTCAGAGGAATACATGTCCAAAAACTATCTCACTTCAGAGAAAATTGACGAGTGTGTCCAAGCATTTGAAGAAATTGGGTTTCCTCAGTGCCTGGTGCAATTGGTAATAATGCAATAAAATCATCCATAATATATGTATATACATATATGTAAATTAATTTCATTACTTAATTTTTATGTTAGATGGATGTCACATCGAAATAAAACCACCTGCAGCTGATATTTGATATTTTTTATTTTTTGCGTGCTTTGTGAGATCTGATGGGGTTATTTGGTTTTATTTTTATATTTTCCTGTCTGTCATTGTTTACATTTTCGTAGTGATCTCCGATTTTTTGTTGTGAAATATGGTTGCATTTGACAATTATCGAAAAAATACCGCACTGAAACGTGAGAATTAGGAACATCCCAGATGGATGGTGGAATAACTGGGAAATTTCGGAACGGCAAAACCTTACGGACCATCCCAGAAATGGATGGTGGATGGTGGATGGTCCCCAGTGTGAAAAGGCTATTAGGCTTATTTTGGCAAAGCTACATGCAAACAATTAATATTAAATGAAAATTAAAGCTAAAGGTAAGCAAAACGTAATGTTTGCTGGCGAACGGAATTTGGTTTTTCTTTTCAATAAAGTAATAAATTTAGGGCAGTATAGCCATATGGCCGACCATACAATTCTTGCCAGTAGATCCAAGTTATTTGTAAGTGTATCGGTTTCGTTGAACCGTTTGGACTAAAAATAGTCTTGTCAGTTTTGGAAAACCAACGTTCAGCTCTCAGGCTTTCGCCAACGACCATACTACGCTGAATACGTTACCCAGAACATGATGCCACAACAGTTTGTCTCAAGGTAGCTTTTCAAACCAAATGGTTCTGTTCATAAGATGAACAGATTTTTTGGCACCCAAAATATCGAAAAAAGGTGACCCCTCAATAATAATGTTCCCAGCTATACAAAAAAATTTTCGTAATGGAAAGGGGCTGAATAAGGCCTTATGCAACCAATAATGCTGCGAGAATATTTTTAAAAGCAAACCCATTTTCAATACCATGTTCTTTCGCTGTCAGGCTAAGAATCTAAAATAGTATCTGTTATTGTCTATAAATGAAGGGGGGCTCGGCCGGATAATTTGTATCTCTTTTGATATAGTTTTGTAGCCCTGAAAAGGGCTTGTTTAAATCAATTTCAGATGTACGATCATCTAAAATTTACTTCTTGGCCGCCGTCGTCTTTGCTTTCGGCTTCTTTACGGTGGCGGGAGCGGCTGGCTTTTTTGTCACCTTCTTGGGCTTGGCAGACGCCGCTGCAGCTACAGCCTTTGCTTTTGGTTTTGGCTTTGCAGGGCTCGACTTGGCCTTTGCCGCTGCTGGCTTCGCCTTCACGGTTCCAGCTTTCTTCACATCCTTGGCCTTTGCCTTCTCAGTTTTCTTCTTCTCGGCGGTCTTCTTGGTGGCGGTGGCGACCGTCTTCTTTGCCTTTAGCTTCTTGTCACCGGCTCCGGCTGCTTTTTTGGGGGCTGCTGTCTTCTTTGCTGATGCCGATGGGACCACCTTCTTGGCTTTCACTTTCTTCTCCACAGACGACACAACCTTTGGCTTGGGCTCCTTTTTGGCGGAAGCCGACAGCTTGAACGAACCAGAGGCACCTTTGCCCTTTGTTTGAATCAGCTTCCCATTGGCAACGGCCGACTTCAAGTACTTCTTGATAAATGGAGCTAGTTTCTGGGCATCGCATTTGTATTCGGCAGTAATATATTTCTTGATGGCCAGTAGCGATGAGCCGCCACGTTCCTTTAAGCTCTTAATCGAAGCGTCAACCATTTGCTGAGTTGGGGGATGCGATGGTGCAGCTGTGGGCTTCTTTGCCTTTGCAGTAGCCGCAGCGGATCCAGACGCCTTTTTAGAGGCCACCTTCTTCTCCGCTGCTACTGGTGGAGCAGCCACTGGAGACGCGGATGTTGCAACTGCAGAATCAGACATTATTCTTTACAAAATTACACTTTTTAGTTGCGAACGCGGCGGGGGCCTATGGTCCCTTGTTCGAATGAGAAGCGAGTAGAAGGGCAGCACGAAGATGATTTTAGCATTGGTGATTTGTGTTGCAGAAGTTTCATTGAGCGTCTGACTTATTTCTACTTTTTAGTATATTATTATTAAGTAATGGAAATACATTTTTATTGAATCAGATTCGTAAATGTTTAAATTTCTATTTTAAATAGTTTATTTGGTAAATATCGTCCATTATCGACTTTTAATACCTGTGCAAACTTTGACAACTAGTTATCCAACTCTTATATTTTGGATTCTATAATATTTATAAATAACAATTTTAGCTCATTTTGCAAAACCTATTTTTGAAACATAAAATTTGATCAATTTACTTTGAAAATCTTTAAGCAGATATTCAAATATTGTTTAGTATGGTATCTTAATATCGTTTTGAAGATAGCCCTATAGAGTACAAAATGACTATTTCTGGGTATGTTCAGCATTGAATTTAGGGCTATAAAGATATAAATGTTTAAAACTATACTATTTTAAGACATTTTAATTAAGGAAATCAATACGATTTTCCATTTAATATTATTTCTGATCCATTTCTGCAAATATTCACCCAAAAATAGCATACTTCCATACCCAAATAGCAGTGGCAATTTAATTAATCTCAAAGTAAAAATCGAAAGCATCAATATTTACAAATTTTGTTGTCTGCAGCAATTTTTACAAGCCTTAAAACATTTTTCCATTACTTTTGTAAATTATATGTTCATATATTTCTATTTTTAAATGACCTTTTATTACATACTAGTCTTTCTATCGGTAGTTTCAAAAGCCTTTGCATATCTTTGATATTTCAAAACATTTAATTCATTGGTCATTGGAAAAGCGTGGATAATACTAAAATTACGTTAAAAGGCTATTCACAAACCAATGTAATCCGTCAAAAAGTAAATAAAAAGGGTTTCTATTCTTTTCTAATTCCATAGCTTCAGCTATTTGTTTCTGACAAAATCATAGTTTTTTTCCCCAAATAAATGAAAACTTTAAACCTACGTATATCGCACCAATCTAATCTTATTCAATACACTTATTATTACGGAGCTAACACACATTTTTAATTAACTATTTCAAAATTTGTTTAATCAGTTCTACTATATACTACTATGTATACTACATACATATGTACCACCTAAAATCAATAAAAAGAGGAAATGGTTCTGATCTCAGTCCGATCAAGAATCTTAAGCACATCATCAACGTTTGTACATGAAAGCAGACACCCAAAACTTTGTCCGAATTGGAAAAAAAAGGTACAAAAACGGTTTAACAATATTTGTATATAGTCACATTATGAAATCTAGTATACACTAAGCATATGGTGCCAACTGATGTAGCGACATGAGATGACCTGCCGCATCATAAATGAGGAATTGGAAAAGTGGGTGGGGTGGGCGTGGGAAATAAATAAAATGTAAAAATAACAGCTGTTATTGGTTTGATCTATTTGAAATGAATATTGAGCAAATACCGCCAGATTTTGACTTGATTCCTATTTTGATTCCTTTTGATTCCTATTTTTCAGAGAATTTTTATTTTTCATATGGGCGATCAGAAAACTACGATGCTACCTCGACGACTGCAGGTTCGATATCATCACCGACCATCTCGCACTATAATGGCTAAAAATCCTTGAAAGACCGTACGGACTCAATACGACAAGTATTATCGTAGAGAGACGGGTTCGTTGTATGTTAAGTATTCCAGATATATTTTGTTTGTGTTGGAAACAAACCGCAAACAAACCCCCACCTCCTCCAGCAAGAGACCCGCTACTCGCTCGCACACTCTGCCTCGTTCAGTACGCGAGTGCCCGCCAGCGGAGGAGATGTATAATCTAAATGATACATCTATAATCTACATGGCAGATGTAGAATATACATTGTAGATGTAGAT